GTGTGTGTATGTATGTGTTCTGTTGCCTGCAGAGACCAGAGGAGAGAGACCATGCAGTTTTGAGTAGCTGATGAAGCTGGTATTTAAAGAGCCTGGATGCCACTGCCATCTTAGGAAAATGTCATCCAAATGACAGCAAGAGACACTTCATTTTACAAATGAACAAAAACAGTCATGTCAGAAACATCACATGACTTCAAGCTTCGGCTCAGAGCCATGGTAAGAAACAAAACAAAACAAAACCAGCATGATACTGGCACAGAAACAGACATGTAGACCAATGGAATGGAAACCAGATGTTAGCCCACAGCAATACAGCTGTTAGAGTCTCAACAAAGGTGCCTGAAACACTCATTGGAGAGAGGCAGCAAGTGTGCCGGGAAAAGTGAAGACACACAAGACTAAGATGACATTCCTCTGATCCAGGCTATACAAAAAACATCTCAAAACAAAACAGACATTAGTGTAAGACCATAACTGTGGGAAGGCTTCAGTGTAGAGGCAATGCTATTCTGTATAGGATTTGAAGATCTCAGGAAAGAGCAGTAAGAATCACCCAACCAGATTGCCAGATTGTGTAAAATTTCCTCCTCTTCTTCTTCTTCTTCTTCTTCTTCTTCTTCTTCTTCTTCTTCTTCTTCTTCTTCTTCTTCTTCTTCTTCTTCTTCTTCTTCTTCTTTTCTTTTCTTCCTCCTCCTCCTCCTCCTTCTCCTCCTTCTCCTCCTCCTCCTCCTTCTCCTCTTCCTTTTTGAGACAGGGGTTTTTCTGTAGCTTTAGAGAATGTCCTGGAACTCGTTCAGTAGACCAGACTGGCCTCGGACTCACAGAGGTCCCCTTGCCTCTGCCTCCCGTGTGCTGGGATTAAAGGTCTGTGCCACCACTGCCCCGTTTGTGTAAAATTTAAAAGCTCCCACACAACAAAGGAAAGTGATTGGCAGCCTGAAGATGTACAGAATGAGAGAAATATTTTCCAGATATATGACAGAGGATTGAGACACAGCACATATAAATAACTAACTCAAAACTTAAATGCCCAAAGAACAAACATTCCAATAAACACATGCACAAAACAAGCAGAAACTTTTCAGGTGAGGATGTAGAAACAGCCTGCAAATACAAGAAGAAATGTCCACTATTCTCAGCCACCAGGGAAATGTAAATCAGAGCTACACTGGAAGTCCATTTCTCCCCATTCAGAATGGTTAGCTTCAATAAAGTCAAGTAACAACTATAAAGTATTTGTTGGTGAGGTAGCAGAAAAAATATCCCTTCTACATACTTGGGGGAAATGTACTTCCGTGCAAATTAGTATGGAATACCCCTATATATTTCATTATTACATGTTATATAATAATAACCAGAGCTGGAGTTATGGTTTATTGGTTAAGAGCACTGGATGCTCTTGCAGAGTTTCAATTCCCAGCACCTACAAGGTGGCTCACAGCCAGTCCCAAGGGATCTAATGTCCTTTTATTCCCTCTGTGGGCACTGCATGCCATGTGCTAGACAAACATACACACAGGCAAAGCACGAATACTCAACTAACTAACTGAATCTAGAACTGTGGGCAGATATAGCTGTGCCTCTTCCCGGTATGCACTAAAAGGAATAAGAGCTGACAATACAGATACTTGCCCGCATCTGTCTGCAGCAGCACCAGTCACAGGACTCAAGGTGCAGAACTGGCCCAGGCTCCTATCAACAGATTAATTGGTAACAAAATACTATATATGAGCATGATAAAAGTTTATTTTTCCAGAAAGAAAAATGAAATCATAGTGATAGTTATTTTTTGCAGGAAAACAGAAAAAAATAGACTGAGATCATTATGTTAAGAGAAATAAGCTACATCACAAAGCTATGTATTACAAGTTTTATTTCAAGTGTGAAATTTAGGTGCATGCGTATGTTTGAGTGTGCGTGTGTAGGATAGTAAAGTAACAGGACTACTAAGGATATAGAAGGGTTTTGAAAAGAATGAGGAGGCGGTATGAAGAGGGTAATACAGGAGTGGATATTGTCAGAATGTCGAGGTTCTATGGATGTATAATCATGTCATCTTGTACCTCACTTGTTTGTGCAATTATAGATAAATTCAAATATATTCTAACTTGACTATCCAAATTTCACTGCATCAACAATGTGTACAGCAATAATTACAAAATAAGATAAAATCGCAGTAGCATAATATAGCAATCCATGAGATACTTGTATTTAAGAAACTGAAAAATGAACTTAATAGGAATTTAGTTTTGTAGTTTTTTTTACTTCATATGATACATTTATATCATTTTCATTTAAATTAAAACTATGTGTGGTTATATGTTTGGTTGTGAATCATTCACCTCTGACTGGAGTGTCAACCCTTTCATGCTGCAGGAAAACTCTAAAATTGTTATGAATCACAGCCAACTTAAATGACATAGAAGCCAACTTAAACCATCATGCATTATACTGTTAGAGGCAGTAATATACAATTCCTTGAATCAAATTTCACTGTAAGTTATCACTTTATTTGCATTTATGAGTAAGGTTAACATTATTTCTTTAAAATATTTTAAAATTATTTAATTTTTGATTTATGTGTATGCATGTATGTCTGCATGTTTGCATAAAGATGCTTGAGGAGACTAGGTGATAGATCCCTGGGAGCTGGAGTTACATATGTTGTAAACCACCTGATATGGCTGCTAGGATAGAGCAGCAAATGCTTTTTGGAAAAGTGTATTTTACATATTATTAATTTTTCATAGAATATGTTTTGATCATATTCTTTCCTCTTTCCCAGTTGCTCTCAGATCTTCTCCCTCCTCCCAATCCACCCAATTTCATGTTCTCTGCCTCTAAAAGAAAAAAAAAACATAAAAAGCAAACCAAAACAATTTTAAAAAGCACATGCAAAAAACCATGGAATTTGTTTTGTATTGGCCCTTGTATTATAAACTGGCTACTTAAATATAAATATATTACACACACACACACACACACACACACACACACACACACACACACACACATATATTATGTATATATTCAACACAACTTTATATCAACCTTTAACTCTACATAAATTTGAATCAATGATTTGATTCCTATGATCTATAGTCAGTGGAAATGTGATGGCTAAAGGAAATGCACTTTATGCCAGGCATCCATCCAGCAACCTGACTCAGTGACCTCCACCCAAAAATGTCCAGCCATGACCATTCTACTTGTTATGACTAAATGCTTTTTTGGTTTCTATAACATTCTTACACAAATACCCAAAGATTATTCTGAGATGCCTTGGCCACTTAAACTTGGCGGAAGAGACCAGCTTTTGCTTGCTTGGAGGTCTTCTGGTTGGTTTTGCCTTAAATAACCTTTCCCCGTATACCTCCTTCATGACACTCCCAAGATTCAGCTTTGGCTGTCATCTTGCTAGCAGCTAATCAATCAATCTTTTAACTATAATTGGACTGAGTCTACAGTCCCAGGGCTCACAAACTCCATAACAACACCGTGATGAAGCTGCTCCTTACAAGGGCCTGTGGGATAGGCTTCCCCCCAATGCCTGGCCAAATCCTCTCCTGCTGGTAAGCCGAGGAGGGTGTGGACTGGCCACCTCTCCAGTCTCTCTAGTCCCACAAAGACCGCACACTTCAGAAGGTATTTCCTCCCCCAGTGAAAAGTTCCTTAAGAGGATTCATATAATTGAACGGAATTCCCATTTAGACCGTGCCTTAAAGATGAAAATGCCACTGCACACAATTATAGATTTAAAATTACTTTAAATAAACATTTCTAGAGGGATTCTGAGCTAACCAGCTCGAGAGATGACTTAACAGAAAGGTAACACCATGCCTTCTGGAAGGAAGGGATCCACCGACACCATTCTTGAAGATGGGGCTGGAGAGATGGCTCTGAAGTTAAAACCACATACTGCTCTTCCAGTGGACCTGAGTTCAATTCTCAGCAATCACATTGAGTGTTCACAACCAATTTTAACTCTAGTTCAGGGGAATCTGACTCCTCCTCTGGCCTCTGCACTCATGTGCACATACCCACACATGTACACATAATTCACAAAATTAAATTAAAAACATTGATGACATTATGAAAATGTTTGTGTTAGGAATTTTTATTCCTTTATTTTAATTTTTATGTGAATGGGTGTTAGTGTCTGCATGTATGGCCATGTATTATGTGCATGCAGTGCTCGGGGATGCCAGAAGAGGGCACTGAATCCCTTGGGACTGTAGTTATGGTTATGAGCTGCCCTGTGGATGCTGGGACTTGAACCCTACTACTCTGGAAGAGCAGCAAATGCTCTTAAGCACAGAGCCATCTCTCCAGCCTAATACTTGTACTTTAAAGAGTAAAATTATGTGGATAATGGGTATAATAATCTGTTTGACTACAAAAGACCTCATGTTATACAAAATTTATTAATTATTGTGCTCTTAATTCTATTTAACTAAAAATTAAACTGAAAACCAATCTAGAAGTAGCTTTGTAAATTGGCTTAGGACTTTAAAAACCCTTCCTTGAAGTCATTTAAAGTTTTGCTTTTACTATCTTCACAATTTACCTGAAACCTGGGCTAAAGTAAGTATTTAACCCTGAGGATGATTAGCAGGAACAGTTTCTGGGGGACGGAGAGTAAACAGATTTGGTGATCAGAGGGAGGGAGAGTGGCTCCCGAGTTTGTTATTGTGACATTACCAAGCCATCCAGGGTGGGGCCTGTCCTTTCCGAGGTCCACACACCCTTTCACACTGAGCATGCAGTCATTTTGAGGATTTTATGGGTCACTTTTCCCTTCATTTGTGTGCTTCTTTCCTGTGTTATAAGTATGTCTTTATACAACCTAGGAAACCTGTCAATGACAGTTTGTCAACAGGGATCTCAATCTAGGAAAGTCAGCCCCATGTCAGAACATGCCAGGGGAAGTTTGTCATTACTCCCTCTCCATAGCCATTCAAGTTGTAATACTCCCCAAATAGTCACACACGTTAAGATTTCTATTTAATAAAATGGCACAAAGTAGTTTAATAAGAATATAAATGCCTTATTTAGAAAGCTTTAGAATACTAGTCTAATCATGTTAGCTACATGAGAGCATTAGGGAGCAAAAGGCCATAGAAATCCAAAGTGAAAAGGGGAAGAAGAGCCTCCTTGAATGGCAGCTCAAATGCACATTCATTTTCTAACTCCCAGTCTGTTGTGAGTTCCCTGGTACCCATTAACCTGCAGCAGAGACACATGAGCTCTGCTATTTCTGTGGCCTCCGTTTGGCTTGCTCACCAAGCTCTGTTCTCAATGTCTGCATCATACCACTCTCTTCAGCATAGTGGTGTCAGGTTCTAGCACTCCTCCTTCATGGAGACTTTGCTGAGCTCCTCCTCTGGTGGCTAGCGGAGATTCCAAGTTTTTAATTCTCAGTTCCATCTGGGTTAATGTCACAATTTCATTAGTGTCTCTTAAGTCCTTAGTGTTGTTTTGATCTCTTGTTTGGGTCTAAAGCAAAAAGTACAAAATTTCAAAATAATTAATCTTCGAACAGTTACTTTACTCTTGTTCCCTTTAGTTAAGAATGATCAACTCACAGGCAGTTGTAAGTATGTTAAATAAGATGCTGGGATTTAAAATTTTTATTACTAATGTCAACTGTATTACATTTAAAACATAAAGCCAGGCATGGTGACACACAGGAGGCAGAGGCAGGTAGATTTCCGAATCTGAGATCAGTCTGGTCTATATAATGAACCCGTCTCAAATGAAATGAAACCAAACCAACAGAAACCTGATGAAAGTTTAAAACATAAAATCAGTATACTCTTTTCCTTTGAAAAGCGATAGAATTGAGCCTGGGCTGTGTGTTTGCTAATTCTGCTCTGAGTCACCCTCATGCTAACCACGATGTAGTTTCACAAGACACAGAACAAAAGAATCAGCTCAAAAACATTTAAAAAACGTTACTGTGGCCGGGTGGTGGTGGCGCATGCCTTTAATCCCAGCACTCGGGAGGCAGAGGCAGGGGGGTCTCTGTGAGTTCGAGACCAGCCAGGTCTATAAGAGCTAGTTCCAAGTCAGCCTCCAAAGCCACAGAGAAACCCTGTCTCGAAAAAACAAAACAAAACAAAAAAACAAAACCAAACAAAACAAAAATGTAACTGTGGCTGGGCGTTGGTGGCTTATGCCTTTAATCCCAGCACCCGGGAGGCAGAGGTAGGCAGATCTCTGTGAGTTCGAGGCTAGCCTGGTCTACAGAGTGAGTTCCAGGACAGGTTCCAAAGCCTCAGAGAAACCCTGTCTCAAAAAACCAAGGTGGAAAAAAAAAAAAACTGTGACTGAAGGAAATATTTAACAGTATGTTTTAACTTTCACATAGAAAATTTTATTATCTTCTCAGTTGTCTTAAAATGTAAATGATTGTCTAAAATCTTGTGGAGGATCAATACTTTTTTGTCAATTTGTTACTAACCTATACATATCTGAGAAGAAGGAACCTCCCTGGAGGCATTACCTCCATCAGACTGGCCTGTGGGCATCTCCTTGATTAGTGATTGATGTGGGAAGGCCCAGCCCAGCCCACTGTGGGCAGTGCCATGGAGACCCAGCCAGTAAGTGGTGTTCCTCCACCGAGTCATCAGTTCCTGCCCTGCTTGATTTCAGTTCCTGCACTGGCTTCTCTCAGCAATGATCTGTGAGCAGGACATGTAAAAACCTATTATAACACTTTACTCCTGCCTTAAGGTTGCTATTGCTGTAATGAAACACCATGACCAAAAGCAAGTTGTGGAGGAAAGGGTTTATTTGGTTTACACTTCCAAGTCCCTCATGGAAGAAAGTCAGGGCAGGAACTCAAGCAGAGCCAGAATCTGGAGGCAGGAGCTGATGCAGAGGCCATGGAGGGGTGCTGTTTATCTTGGTCCTCATGGCTTGCTCACCTTTTTTTTTTTTTTTTTTTTCTTTTCCTAAGACAAGGTTTTCTGGCTGTCCTGGAATGTGCTCTGTAGACCAGACTGATCTCTAACTCACAGAGATCTGCCTGTCTCTGCCTCCCAAGTGCTGGGATTAAAGTCGTGCAACACACAGTTTAGCTGGAGGCATTTTCTTAATTGAAGTTCCCTCCTCTTAGATTACTTTAGCTTATGTCAAGTTAACATAAAAGTAGCCAGTACACCTCTCCTAGTTGTTATTAGTGTTTTTTTTTTTTTTAACAGCAATAGAAACCAGAACAATGACATACATTGAAAACTTTAAAATGAGATGTATGCCATTCAGAAGTCTACAAAGTCAACCGCTATGAGAAGAGGAAACACAAGGGATAGAATCCACATTACTACTGTGCTGAAATGAATTCAGACTTGTTGCAGATTAATTAAAAAGGAAAAAAGCTTTCTGCAAGCTGCCTGCTTTCCCCAGGCTCTGCGGGCTCTGCTGCTCTCACACTACCTACCTCGTGCTCTGGCATCCACCTTCTTCAGCAGAGAACTTCTAAGCGCTGAGGTCCTTGAGTAGGCATCCACGCTTCTTTTGTTCTGTTTTTATTGCTATTAGCTCTTGCTCCATAAACTGAAGTTTTACAGCCATGTGTAGATATTTGTAATATGTAGTTTCCCAATTTTCTTTCAGCTTGTATAACTGTATGAATAAAAACTATGGTTTCATGGTGAAGGATAAAAACCGAAGCTAGGTTAGCATAAAGCCAGTAGACAACTGATGCCAGTTCAGCTATAATAAGTTAAAGTTACACTCTGTAGCAGACTATTAGAATGTACTCCATTGGATTATCCAGAAAATAAGCAAAATTAAACACAGCAGGAATGACAGAAATATGTTCTTTACATACATCTTTGTCACTTATGCCTCAACCACAGCTGTCATTTTCCATGCCTAATTTATTCTTTCATTAATAACATGACAATAAGTCACATGCCAACGGAAGTCTCTGGCCCTTTCCTCCTGAATACTCAGTGCCTCTAAGTTTCTTTCTTTTTCTTTCTTTCTTTTTAAACAAATATGTTCTGATTTAAGAGCATTGCCTTGTAAACTTTGGACTCATTCCATAAAATACAGGAACACATTAAACAAAAGTATTGACAAAATTTAGTTGGATGAATTAGGATGACTTCCCTTTAGTTCTTTGGTGGTGGATTCAAAACATGGCTCCATTCTCCCATAAGACCCATCTCCTGAGTGTGAGCTTGTTTTGGTAACTAGTTTCTAGTATGGGTTTTTTGTTTTGTTTTGTTAAGACAGGGTCTCACTATGTATCCCTCACTAACCTGGAACTCTCTGTGTAGACCCAACTGGCCTCAAACTCACAGAGATCCATTTGCTTTTGCCTTCAAATGCTGGGATTTACACAATCTGATATAAGGCCCGGCAGTAGTGGCACACGCCTTTAATTCCAGCACTTAGGAGGCAGAGGCAGGTGGATCTCTGTGAGTTCAAGAACAGTTGGTCTACAAGAGCTAGTTCCAGGACAGCCTTCAAAGCCCAGAGAAACCCTGTCTCAAAAAACCAACAAAACAAAACAAAAAACAAAACAAAACACTTAGTCTGATATAGCTTGCTCCTGGATGTCTCTAGGGAAGCAATACTTAGTAAGTTATTGCTATGATCACAATTTCATTGCTGTGTTCCTTGGTTACTACAGATATTTAGGGGCTGGACATGAATTTCTTCTAATGGGCTGACCAATTACCCTGTGAATCTTGGGTTGGGCTGTGTGACTCTAGTGGTTTAGGTGCAAGACGTGAATGTAAGGGACTGTGGTGTTCGAGAATCAAGTTTGTGCTGTGAACATCAACTTTGGTTCTAGCACAAAGTTAGATGCCAGGTGTTGTATCCGCTTCCTCCAAGCTGAGGCATCCTTGCTGGAGGAAGAAAGAGGCTCTCAGAGCCAAGGAGGCTAAGGAAACCCACTGAGGTGACTGATGGGCAAGGCCTTTCCCAGAGTTTTGAAAGCAGTAATTGTTGGGGAGAGGGAGCTCTCCTGCAGAGCTGCCTTTAACTGTGAGGAGAACTCCTGGGGTGCAGCTTCCATGAGTCATCACTCAGGCTGAGACGGTCTTTTGGGTGACACAGCTGCCGGTGAGTCACCCATGCTCCTATCAGTTACCACAACAAACTCATTAGGCTTGGATGAATTCATTTCTTTATATTTTTTGTTTTTTGAGATAGGGTATTTCTATTACAGAGCTGTGGCTGTCCAGGAACTCACTATGTACCTGGCTGGCCTCAAACAGAGGACCACCTGCCTCTGCTTCCTGACCTATGGGCTTAAAGGTGTGTACCACCCTGCCCAGCTTTGGATTTGGTGTTTTTTGTTTTTGTTTGTTTGTTTGTTTGTTTGTGTTTTTGGTCTGTCATCATACCCCATTCCTCCCCCTCCCCGAGAAAACTCACACAACACTACATCAAAAGGGAATCTGTAAGATGACCATTGATCTAATTCCCAACAAAATAAGCTGATGTCATGTTGGTAAAAACACTGATGTGAACTAAAATGAAATGAGAAAACTTAAATGCTGTCAGCAGTGAACTGGGTCAACAGATTCTGTGACCATGAAATGAGAACAAAGAGGAAGTACTAGGTGAGAGCCTGAATGCTTCAGTAGAGAAGAGAGAAAGAACCAGCTATCATTGAAGGCCAGATCTTACTATGTTAGGGACTCAGCAGGCATAAACTGGCCACATTAGCCCTAACTGGATGAAGAGCTTCCCACCCCATGAGGGGCTTTCTGAGAGCAAGGGGATCTAACCCTTCCTCAGCTGCATGCAGGGGAGCCAAGCCCTCCTCAGCTGCATGCAGGGATCTAACTCCTCCTCAGCTGTATGCAGGGGATCTAACCCCTCATCAGCTGCATGTAGGGGAGCCAAGCCTGATGGGGAATGTACTGTGTATGTTCATCTTATTGATTTTTGAATAAATTATTGTTTGGCCACTGAGGAAGCAAGTTAGGTGGGACTAGGAGTCAAAGAGGATTCTGGGAAATGTAGTAAAGAAGTGGTGATCTAGGCAGGAAGTGACATAGCAGGGAGACTCATATTTAAGGAAGGACAAGCAGGAAGTGGTCCCTTTTTTCCCTCTGCTCTTCCTTCAGAATCGCCATGTGATCCTCCGGCAAGGGAGGATGACATTGGAAGGCGTCTGATAAGATAAGTCTTATAAAAATATATATATTTATGATAATTAAGACTGAGCTAACAGATGAGAATCCTAGTCATTGGCCAAGCAGCATTTGTAACTAATATAAGTCTCTGTGTACTATTTGGGGACCTAACTCGGGCGGGCGGCTGGCATAAAGCATACACGTGGTGGCGGGGCTCAGCGGCTTTTGGCGGAAAGATTTATTGTAACACAAGCCCTCCTCAGCTTCATGCAGGCCCAGGCTTTTGACAGTCAGAGCCCCAAGCAGGATCAGGTCAGAAAAGTAACAGGTGATACCATAGCAACTGGAGCTGCTGATAGCTTTTTGACAGCTCTTCCTTGATTGGCCCTATTTATAATCTTATTTGCATGCCAATCAGGGTCCAGGGCCCCAAATTTCTGATGTTCTGGGGCTACAAGAACAGAAGGCTTGAGAGTACTATAGTGGAGGAAGAGGACTGGCTCGCATGGCCGAACTTCTGCTTCCCGCTCCTCTCTTGACTGAAGCCTCATGGATGTACATGTGCCCCTGCTGCTCTGGTGTGTTGACTACAGGCTTGCTCTGAAAGACATTGATCCTGACTGGCATCTAAGACCTTTCAGAGCAGTGTCAGCAATCAAAATTCAAAGTGGGAACAACCCAGAGGTCCATTGATCGGTGAGCATATAAACAAAATGTACGACTTACCCATATGACAGGACACTAATCAGCAATTAAATGGAAATGAAGTACATACAGGTGTTTGAACAGGCTGAACAATAAAAGAATGCTCAATAAAAGGAACCAGACACAAAGGCAGCTAGAATGCAGACTGTGTCTCTCCACAAAACTGTTGAGATAGATGAACTTGACAGCAATTACATATACTGGGTTCCTTAAGTCTCAGCATGACAGATCAATTGCTAAGAGGTTTAGAACATATTTGGATAGTAAAAAATAGTAAAAAATTGAGATGATATTTGTGTATCTGTAAATATATACCATGCTACTAAATTGTAATGTATACTTCAACTGACTGGCTTTCACAGCCTGTCAACTGTAGCCCAATAATGCTGCTAGCAACTAGAACCGACAAAGTACTTATAATTTTGACATTGTAATGGTGGACTGTTTGTTGTTAAGTCATCTGCCAGCATTAAGAGAAGCTGGAGAGATGGCTCAATGGTCAAGAGTCCTTGACGCTCTTCCAGGGGACCTGAGTTTGGTGCCAACTATCCACAGGGTGGCTCACAACCATCTGTAACTCCAGTTCTGGGAGATACAATGCCCTCTGATGACCTCTGAGGGCACTAGGAATGCACATGGCATATAGCTAGGCAGGCAAAGCACTCATACATTATAGAATAAAATAAATAAATAAGATAAAGAAATAAAGAGAATCAGCACAACTCACCTTTAATAGAAAAAAATATATATTTTCATTAATTTCAGTGAAGTTGTTGTTTTAAATCTTTGTTTTACTGGCCAAAGAACATATAGCTATATTTACCCAAATCAAGAGATATTGAATCTTACAGATTATTGAAATTACCTCATGCCTTAGTGTATTAATTGGAATATGCATATCAAATTGGCTGGATTTTAAATCACTAGGACCACTAAGCTCTCTGCTTTCAAGCTTATTTAACTTCTTTTTTGTCTCCTCAAAGAACTTCTTAAATCTGTAAAAATGTATAGAATTGGCATGTTTTCAGCATCAATATTTAATAATTTAAGCAGACAATATGCAATATCATAAAAAGGAACAAAACTGTAAGTCACGAATCTCTCATTTGTCTCAACTTAAAATGAATTGAAAATATTCTAATGAAATTCTAATCTTTAAGTAATTTTTTTGTATGTGTTTTGCCTACACATATGTATGTGCATCACAAGCATGTCTCATGTTCATGGGAGCCAAAAGAGTGTGTCAAGTCTCCAGGTCTGGAGTTACAGAACTGGTCATGAGTTGCCATGTGGGTACTAGGAATTGAACCTGGGTCCTCTGGAAAAGCAGCAAGTGCTCTTAACTGCCGAGCCATCTCTCCCAGCCTGAAATTATAATCTTAATTTTTTATTTTTTGAAATTAAAATAGACTTATATAATTTTCTCCCTTTCCTTTCCTCCCTCCAACCTTTCCTAGGTATCGCTCTTTTTCTTTTTCTAATTCCTGGCCTCTATTTCTTTAATTGTTGTTACATATATTTAGTTCTAAATATATACAGACAACTTACTCAACTCAACCCATGAAATGTTACTTGTATGTATACAATTTCGGGGCTGACCACTTTATATTGAATAACTAACTGGAGGGCTCTTTTGTGGGGAAGACTGTTTTTTCCACTCGCAGCATTCCTTAGCTGCCTGCAGTTCTTTGTCTGGAGTTGAGCCCCATGAGAGCCCCCCTTCCATGTTAGCGTGTCTATTGATGTCATCCTTGTCCAAGTCATGTTGATGAGATTTCACGGTTGTAGCTTCTTGACATTTCTATGAGACACACTCTC